GGTAGTTCATCTTGATATATCACTAAAATACTTTATATGCTTACTTAAAATAAGTAGTTAAGATGAGATGAAAAGAGCAAAAGAAAAAAAACTAAGAGAGGAAGATTGAAAAGAAGAGAGGCGAGATGATAAGGAGAGGGGAGAAAGGAAGAGATGAGATCTTCAGGCTACATATATAGGCCGGCAAATATTTAAACAAACTTAAAGTTCTTTAAAAGATGGGAACGTTTTGTGAAAATTAAAGTACAGTTAACGTACCGCGGTGAGAATTAACAAAGCTCACGTACAATGTTGAATATCACAAAACGCATGCAGGCGTAAATAAAAGGAAGAGCGGCTAAAACCAGAAGGAAAATATCAACGTCAAGTAAACTGCAAGCAGAGCCAAGTAAGCGTTTAAGTGTTTACTACCAACCAAATTGCATACGTATGTAGCCGTTTTGTTAGTAGTACTTATGGTTGCTTTTACCCCCATTTTTCGGTACAAATAAAATTTGCATATGGCTTATAAGCGGCGGTGAGAGATTTTTAACGAACATATGAACTTATGCAAGCACTGTTTAAATAATAGTTAAATATCATATAGTATAGTATACCAACAACAAATATCACAGCTCTTTCCTTCTGTCTCTTAACTGTGTGCACTCGTACAAATCTTTTCCCATCTCTTTCTCTTTTGCTCTCTCTCTCTCTCTTTCTCTTTCTCCATCTCTATCTCTCTCTATCTCTTTTTCTTTCCCTCTCTCTCTCTCTCTCTTTCTCTCTCTCTCTCTTTCTGTCTCTCTCTCTCTGTCTCTCTCATCTATCTTTCTCTTTCTCTCTCTTATGCTTTCACTCTTCCGTCATCTCTTACAGTGCATAAAAGTTGCTTTTACAACAAAAACATTGTAGCAACAAATAAAAGTTTGAAATTTATTGGCTTAATTTATAACCTATACAGTGTTGGACGAAAGCGGATACAATTAAAGTAAAACAAGGCAGACTTACATTTCTAATGAAATATTCTAAAGACTTCCTTTGAAACTCTGCTCAGTTTAGGTCACCACTTTACATCTCTTTGTAATTCCTAGCAGCAAGCGAATCTTTGGTGTGTATGTATTTTTTTTTTTTTTTTTTTTTTTGTCTTCTTGTATAGTCGCTTTCTCACTTTTCATTATTCACTACTATAAATAAGTAGATGTGCGTGCTTGTATATGTTTTGCGGACGTATATACATGCGTTTGTAAGTATAATTATACATTTGAATTCTCTTCCTTTTTTATCTTTTTGTCTCCTTTTTTTCACTTGTTTTTCTCTATAACAAATATATGAAAATTTCGCCCAAACAGCCTACTTATACAAGCTGTGCTCCTGTTATTTTTTGTAATTTGAATAATTTAAACTCTCACATGTAATATGAAAAAAAAGAAAAAAACAAAAAAAAAAAAAGCCATCATCATCATCTATATATCTATCTCGTCGTCATGTTGTTCACTAAACATCATTGTGTTTGTGCGTTGCCTATATATATACGGTCGCATAAATTAGCTTTGTTGCTAAACTTACTGAAAACTTATGCTATAGTATTTAATAGTATATGTATACTTACCTACCTGCGTGCATTTTAAAATCTTCATCCCTTTGTTTTTTTGTACCATAGAAATGAAAGCTACATACATATATATTGTGTGCTAGTGAGGACAACATAACCGTAATAAAAGTTTTTTCTTTCACATTTTCTATTCATGTCAGCTTTTCTTACCTTTTAATTGGCAGAAAGTTTCTTGTCATCTAATTAGCCCATAATTTTTGCTATACAGCCGCAACACCATTTACAAAACGCAAAATTATATTAAAGTTAATAAAATGATTGAAAACTTTAACAGAGTTCGACTTATGAAAGTTTAACGCCTACTATGGACGGCATCTGTTCTATGTCAATACCAAGTGATGCAAATATTTTTAAGAAAAAGAACGAAAAATGAATTAACTCAACGCAACGCTTAAATCATGTCAAACATGTTAACTGGAGATCTACACTTTCACTGAACTTAAGTACATCGAGAAAATGACTAAAGTGAACATTATGCATTTATCTTCAGATTGCTCTTGAATATCCGCCATGAATTTCCTTTAGGCATTTCTATCCAGCTACAGACAGCTACCACGCCTTGTTTGCAATTTTCCTATTTTGGGATTTCAAAATGCTTGCAACGGCCAGAAGGAAGCTACAGAGACCCCACAAAGTATATATACTCTTGATCAGCATCAAATTCTGAATAGATTTAAGCATGTCTTTTTGTCCGTCTGTTCATCTGTATAATATCTGTTGCAAACTTGCCATCAAATTTGGCACAAACATTGGAAGTTCTTGCACGCAGGTTGGTAGTGGAAGTGGGCCAAATCGGTCGAAGGACTGGACCATACCGCGACGTAAACTGAGAACACGTCTGTTTTTGAAAAGAAATAAAAAATCGGTTTTTTGTTCGCTACTTACAAACTATAGCAGATAAATGTACAAAACTTTGAACGCATGGGCATATGGGCGATGCAATGGCAGCTGTACAAGAATTGACACACACACATCTATCCAATATTATAGTGCATCAAAATTTAGTTTATTTTTCAATACCTTTATAATGCGAACAAGCGAGCCCATAAAGTATATCAATTCGCGGCCTGTTTCAAATTTGGAATGCAACTAAACATGTCCGCCCGTTCGTCTGTCCATCTGCTGGCTACGCAACGCTGTCTGTGGTAACCATTCTCCCTTTAGCGAAAATCAAGCCATCGCCTACAAATTTGCAAAAGAATTTGGAAGTAACTTAAACTTCTCGAAGAATACGCTTACATCGCCCACATGCCTATGCAACAAAAACTTTTATTTTCAAAATCGAAAAAACCAGCAACGTCCGCTCAATATAATAAAGTATAAAAATATAGTTATTTTCCTTTTTCGTAGTTTTTTTTAAGATAACGCTGAGGGGTATAAAAGATTCGGCCACGACCGGATACAATTTTCTTACTTATTAAGATGACCGAGACGTAAAAGGGAAAAAAAGCTTTACTTGTTTATAGAATTATCTAATATTGTGATCAAAAAGTAAGACCAATATTTAAATTCAATTTTGCGGGTATATTGGATATCAGAACAAAACCTTTTTTTTAGTTTGGTAGCGCAGTGACAGGCATCTGCTTCAAATTTCATATGAGGAACGTCGTTAGTCATTCAGCTGCACGTGATTTTGTACAACCCAAAGTATTATTCCCGATTTTTGCTATATGTGATTTTGTTGAGCAAAGAAGTTGCGAAAAGTAGCTGCATATGGCCCAGAAACTACCGACCAATCGAACGAATATCGCGCCAAAGATGAGCCAAGGCCGAAAGAACCGCGTCAAAGTCGCTCAAAAATCAAAGTGATGTTAGCAGTTTCCATCGTTTATCGTAGTGCTGTGCACTATAAATTCCTTGCGCCGGGATTGGCCAAACTGTTTAACGGAGTATTAGGTGAGTGTTTTAAAGGCGATTAAAGAAGAATAAATTAAATTGGTCTTAGTTTTTGGTCACACTAGTGTATGTATGATTTTCGAGAAAAATTTTTGACACTTACCGTGACAAATCAATTCATAAAAACTATAAGGTATTTGACTAATTTTGAGCGTATCATGCATTTAGAGAGCTCTTGAGAATGTTTATACCAAGATGTGATGGAAATCTCCTAATCGTCGTTGGTCGTTGAATTTTTTGGGATATTGTGGACGCGCTTCTACTCTCATTTTGAATAACCAATAGTTTTCTGACGCAATCTTTATACTTTCAAACTAAATTATGAAAAAGTTGTCTGACGAATCGTACTTTAAAGGTGGTTTCGTCAATTACGGTTTGCGTATTTGTGCGGCCGATCACGTATATTTTTGGACTGAAATTTTAAATTCCCCCCAGGCAAGTGTTTTTTATAAATTTTTTAATGAATAAATGCTATGACCGGATTATATTCAATATCTAACCTCTATCTATCCACTAAAAACCTAGAAGCCGAGCTTGAAATTTCTTAATTAATTTTTACGAAAAAAAGTTTCCCAGCAACAGGCCCATGAATAAAGCTAAATGAGATCCGAATCAAACGCTAATCGAAAATATATGTATATATAATATATGGGGTTTCCAATAATTTCAAAGAGAAGAGCAATTTACTGTATCCAATTCCTTTGTTACTAAATGTGGGAATCAGTTCGTTGAGTCCCTCATACGAGAAAAATAGAAAGCGTGAGAATCCATTTATACTTAAAAATTAGACTTGGTATGTCAAAGTTAGTCTGACAATTCTAGTGACACTGTTATGAAAGAAACGAATTCGAAGGTCGATCTATATTTGAAAAGATTAATCAAGTCCAGATTGATATGGTATGGTGGAGAGTTTCTATTACATTTTTTAAAATAGTTACAAGAGTATACATATGAAAATTTACTAAATTTCGGAAATTACTGGGGATTGACCCGTTTACAAAGTAAAAATATTGCACAAGAATACGGAAGAGCACTCGTTCTCTTAACCCTTGTTACGTATGCATGCTTCATTCCTTTAGAAAATCCTGTTTGCATTACCGGAAATTTGTAAACGTTTATTATGTTTACAAAAGTCATGCTTTAAAAGGCGAAATGCATAGATGTAACATTCAGATTTAACTTTATTTACAGCCATCACCGCAAACCGGTTCCTATTCCTATTGTTGTAAATGATTACATTTGGCTTTTGTCGCATTTTCTCATTTAAGATTCAAATGCCAAACTCGTTTATAAGGGTTTAATGCTATTGTTATCAAATCGCATAAAGACGCACATGTCTAATCAAAGATTACGATAAGCCAAGGCAGAAGCTTTTTAATTCTATGATAATTTTTGTTTTTGTTTTTTTTTTTTTTTTGTTTATTACATAATTTTATCTTATTTTTTATTATACTTCAAAACATTAATTAAAATTCTAAGGACACATTTTCATACATTTTTCACAAAGTTTCTTACCCATTTAAACGAATAAAAAACGAAAAAAACAAAACACAAAAAACTAAAGGCAATAAAAAAAATTTTAATTACCAAGCGAACCTAGTGCTGGTGTTACGTTAGCCTCGGCAACCGATTTGACGGCATGCGGCAGGCTTGGACTCGAAACAAGGGATAATGATGATGTGGCCCCGCCATCGTTATTGTTGCCTGTACTGTTAGGCACATGGAAAAAGTACAGCATAAAACCGGCAGCTAATAGAAAATGTGCACTTAAAATGCCAAAGACCAAGAATAACGATAATTTCGAATTTCTTAGAGCAGGAGTCAGAACACCTATCAAAACTGAGCCGGAAAGTAAAGCAGCACTAATCACTAGAAGCCATTGCAAAAAAGAAATCTGCAAAGCAATCTCTTGCAATTAAAATAAATAAATTTCATTTATGCAATGTTACAATGTTACGTACTTGTATAACCCATAATATGGAAACAGGTATATAAATGGATAACGAATAACCATAAATGCACATTAACGATAATAAAGAGGGCGTGTAATCAGCCTGCAAATATATATATACATATATATATATATGTATATATTGTCTCTCGATTTTATATGGAAAACATTTTGTTAATCATTTTCTTACATTTTCAGTTTCTAAGCCTTCCTGCAAAGGCTTTAGACTATATTTAAATAAAGTCCACAAGGCGGCTGGTATAAAATTCGCGTAAATAAATATACATGTGGCAGCATAAGAAACCAAATGGAAATTGTAACGCCATTGATAGTTATCTTGGCCATGTTGCAAGAAACTCGCTATATTACCGCTAATGGCAATAGAAAAAATCTATAATAGAACTGAATCAAAATCCCCTCAAGTTTTCATGTAATTTTTGTTGTAAACTTACGAGTGTTACTGTAATCCAAAACGGACCATACAAGTCGGGATTTGATCCTATCGTATAACGTAAATAATTACCTGGAGCCCGTTTCGGTATCATTGAATTGGCAATACGTTCTAATACCATGTAAGTATCGACATTGAAAAATTGCTCATAATATTCAAGGGCCAAAAACGATGCTTTCGTATTACTATCATTGGTGGATGCATTTCCGCCAATGTTTAAGTTGTTTATATCAGCGCCACCACTATTGCCACCGCCACCGCCACCGCCACGGCCACCGCCAACGCCATCAATTCCAACCCCACCCATATTATTATCACTAGAGGCTAACATTTGTGCTGAACTGCTCATATCGTAAATTAGCTCCGATAAAGGATCACCTCGTTGCCGCCCACCAGAAGCTCCTATGTTTATTCCATGTGTTGGTGAATTGACACTTATCTGGGCCGCACTGGAAGTGTTCGTAAAGTCTTTAAATTGCAGCAAATCGTCATTTTGCATCTTTTCAAAACAATTCTCTCTCGCGTTCTCTTCGTGGACTACTTAATGTTATAACTTTAATGGAAAAATTTTTTTTTAATTTACACGTCGTTCAGTATTTTTTATTTATTAGTTTTATTTTCCTTTTCTTTTTCTATGCTCTGCTTTACTCACTTATTTATTTATTATATATTCTGATAAGAAAAAACATACGAGGGTTACCTGCTTTTTACCAAACGATAATGCTACACAGAGTTGTATTTTTATGTTATTATTAATGATTTATTATACTGGATTTTTCTCGTTCTTTAAATATTAAATTAATACCGTTCTTGAATTTCAAAACCATTTCTGCCATCAATATTAAGTTCTCTTGAGGGTCTGCCAATACCAATTGAAATTGTTCCAATATTTTAATTGTCATAATTTTCATTATCATCAATGCATATTTACGACCTATGCATATATGAGGTCCGCCCGAAAAAGGCAAATAGCTAAATGCAATCAAAGATTTCTCCTCGGCAAATCGTAAAGAACGAAATTCATCGGGATCTTCGAATAGATGCGGATCGTGAGCCAAACCGTATAAATTAATCCAAACTGTAACGCCGGCAGGATAAACACGCTCTCCAATACGAGTAGAACTTGTTGTCTGGCGACCTGTTAACGGTACTACGGTATAAAAACGTAAACACTCCTTGATGAATAGATCAAGATATTTGTATTTTTGCAACTCATTAAAGTCAACATTAGCGGATAGTTTAGAGCTCTGTTGAATGTTTTGCATTTCTTCAAAGACTTTCTGCTGCTCTTGAGGATATTTAGCCAAAGCATAAAGGACGTAACACATGGCCGATGTAGTTGTATCCACACCCTATAACAATAAATAACTTTTCTCTTAATGCTGTGCATATAATCGGCAAACTATTTTAAGAAGTAGTCATTGTAAACACTATGTATATATATTGTCTATATACAACACTTTTGCTTATGGTATAAAATAAAGACAATCTTTTAAGTTTTACCGCGAAGTAAAATTGCAAATTTGATACGATATTCGAACAAGTAAGGAAATTACATTTGCCCGGGGCTTAATCTCGCATTCCCATCACTACGCTTATCGCATTTTATTCTCCAAGTTCTTCTATTTGACACCCATATCGCTGGTATTATTAAGAATAAATTAATCGCGATATCTACCATATTCATTTTAAAATTAACCCATCTTTATGCAGATCTTCATTTGAGGAGTGTACAAATTAGTTCTAAACGTTTTCGCTTGTCTGCCTTATGATAAATAAATTGTAAACATCAAAAAAGTGAAAAAAAATTTAATTTAATTACTCGTAATTTTGTGTGGACACGGCCGATTGGTTCCATTTTTGGACCTAGATAGTAAAATGCTAATATGGGAAGTTTCAACCTTCTAACTTTAATAATATCCAAGTAACAAGAAAAAATCCAAAAATTTTTGTTAAAAAAAACGAAGTTGCGTTCAGTTTACGCTCCACTGCGCGCTTTCGCTCTGACCAATTTGGCCCATTTTTAATACCAACCTGCGTGCAGAAACTTTCAATGTTTTATACCGAATTTGAAGTCGATATCTTAATTTTTGCGACCTGGAGAGTGCCAACAACAGACACCATACAGACACGCAGACGGACGGATATGGCTAAATCAAGTCAGAATTTCACGTTAATCAAGAATATATATACTTTGTAAGATCTCTGCAGCTTCCTTTAGGGTGTTACAAATATCATGGAAAAAAAACAAAATGAATTAACCCCCATCTTACAGTGGTGGGTTAACTCTTTCGTAACCAGTTACGAATATATAAGTTAAGCAAGTTGTAATTCATTCACTATAGTTTATATCGGTCAAGCGTAACGTAACGAAACCCGTTTCTATCACTTAAAAAATACTCGTAAGTATACAAGAGCTCTTATCTTACGGCTTAGTTTATGTATTGGCCTACACAAAAACCTATTGTTGTACACTTCAAACTCGCCGCGCTATGAAATGCGACGAAAGTTGTAAATCGTGGTTCGTAATCGTATGTTAGTCAAATGATACATTAAAACGTACTTTTTTTCAGCCAAAGTGCATCATACACAGTATTCATCATCATAGTATACTTTAGCTTCCGTATTGATTTACACAAAAACCTGTCGTTATTGTTCCTTAAGACTCGTTTAGGTCTATCGCATCATATATTATATGTGATGCGTTATGCAATGAAGAATTTCAAATGACTTAAGGGGCTATAAGTTCAGAATAAAGTTCGATAGTGAATGTGTTTCAAAATGTTTCAATTACCGCCAAGACGAAAGTATTGACCTCCTCCCGAATGTCTTGAAAAGAGAAGACCTTCCCGGTATTGGTTGGCGTTAGGAGAGTATCTAAAAAGGTTTTTCCTATCTTTCCAGTAGTAGTCGCGTGGCCATTAGTTGCCAAATAATTTTGTCGTTCCCGTACAATATCCGACATGAGTCCGTGAATAATTTTCAAAGATTTTTTTAACTCTGAATACATTGGAGTCAAGCGATATATAATGTCCAGAAATAGTAATGGATTTGTCATACGTTGAAACAACAATTCATTAGATCTGAAAAAATAAAAATTAAATTACATTTTTGAATTTATACGAACTAATTGTTGCAACTCGCCTATGGAAAGCTTGAGTATAAGCTTCGTTTTCATTAAGTTGTATTTGCAAATTTCTACCCATGGAAGTATCTAGAGATTTTGTGGACAATATTTTAATTTTTTTTTTTTTTTTTTTTTTTTTTTTGTTGCACAATATTCACGTATTATCGTATCCATGATGCAAGGAAGTATATAAGCAGTAATGTCAAGGCATTTTTCACCATGTGCTCGTATTTTGTTAATAAAGATATCGCTATGAGAAGAAATGCTTTCCGAGAAAGTGTTTAATATGTTGATATTGAACGCTGGTTCCAATATACGACGATGCGTCGCCCAATGATTACCTAAAGATGAAACTTACTCAACTTATTTGTTTCTGCTCACTGTCTATCCTACATGTTTAGTTCAATTGATCTAGCAGCACTCACCCTCGCTTATCAATAATCCATTGCCGATTAACGCATCCAAATATTGAAAGGCTTGAGGTCTTAATAAATTTCTATTATTTAAAACGTCGCGAGTTTCTTGTGGTGTATGCAAGAAGACCCATAACTCTGGCCCTAGCCATAAGCGATATGTTTGTCCGTAAATCTCGCGAAGATTTCTTAAACTTAATAATAAATCTTGTTATTTGAAATTAGAAATGAAAAGAAAATTATTAAATAACAAAAGAAATTTTATACGTTTGTGGTGCGTGCATTTACTTTCCGGCTTCAATTTTGACACCATTTGTATATTACCAACCATTGGTAATACGATTGGTCCAGGTATCTTAAGGCCGATCAAAAATATTTTATACCATTTACTTAAAAAACGCACGGTCAAGACCGTTAAGATGAACAGCAAAGCAATGAAAATGTTCATATTTTGATCTTAATTTGTTTAATATTTATATTTCACATTACTATGTTATTCACGCGACATCTATCTGTACACGCTATAGCACGGTTTACCTTCAAATTGATCAATGCATTGACTTCAAAGAGAAAAATAAACTAATGTTTAGATAACTTTTTTCACAACTTACTGACTGCAAGTGTTATCTTCTTCGTATATATGTATATAAATCATTTAAGTAATCTAAACGAGTCGTAAAATAAGTAAACCCAATAAAATCGTTTATTATTGCAATTATTGACAGATGAAAGTTCGATGAACAAAAATTTTCATTTAAAAATAATTTTTAACATTTTAAGCTCGAACTCCTGGAAAAAAATTGAATGATAAGCCTATATTTTTATTTTTACTCTTCCTCATAACATCTGCAATAATTAACACAGCTTTCCATCATAAATACAAGTAACTTTACTAAATAAATAGCTCGGCTTAGAGATGTCCGATAATGCCGTCCTGATATAAATGCTAATATACACAGGCGTGAATAAATAAATAAACAACACACACTTCTTTGAATGGATTACAAAAAAAAATTTAAAAATTTTATGCTGTAGGGAGCCAAGTCCCACCATTAAATATCCTACACCTCTTCAAATAATTACTTTTCAAAATGAGACGTCACATGATAAGTGGTCGAAAAAGTGTTCCGATTGCAAACATTTTTCATAGCATAGATCGTCCTTGGATCAGAAAACGTCCGCTTACGTCTTGAACGCACTTCCACCCACACTTCTTATACATTTTTATTTCTAATCATTTTGTAAAGATCATTAATTAAATTCTTTATGTTCTTGGTTCTCGATGACATGGCGCGATAAATAAGTAAAGTCCTGTACACTGTTTCATAGGCAACGCAGCTCAACTATAGCATTTTAACTGGTTCTCAATGTATTGTTTAATTACGAAATTTGAAAGGAAAATTTAACGCAAAAGTGATGGAAGGCACTGTCGCAAGGTATCAAACTCTTCGAGAAAAAAACAAAACGGCTAAAAAATTGTTATCAAGTGCTTAGAGCACAAGTGAACAACTTTTATAGACTTCAAGGCGTGTCAGGCGATTGATTACTCATTTGCAAGTCCATAAAATTAGAAGAAATGACTTTCATATCATGAAACGTTCAGCTTATGTGGATCGTGAACACTTTCAAACTCAAGAAGGCTTCAAATATTTATCACCTGTGCTCATCAGTTCATCAGATGATGCTATTGCTCTTCTAAATAAGTTCAACGTTCAATTATTTGTATTTGTTATTATAATTTCTTCTTTTTTTTTTAATAATTTTTTAAACGTATATTTTTTTAAATTTTTATTTAATTTTTTTTTTTCAACAACTCTTTACTTTTATTTTCATAATACATATATAAACGTTAGTTTTGCGGGTGGTAAAATTTTTTCAATGATTTCTCGAATTTTTTTCTTTTTGTTTTTTTGTTTTCTTTTCCATAGGGAATAAGTTTAAGAGAACATGCAAGTAAAATATTAATATATTAAGATTGAAAATTGAAAAAAAAAAATTCAATTCTACATAAAATTACCTTTAGAAAGTTAAAAGACAAAGAAAACATTTTTGAAATTTTCAAAAATAATAAAACAACTATCAACAATAGAAACAAGGAGTTTAAACTGAATGTATTAGCAAAAACAAAAAAAAAACAAAAAAATTAAGCAAATTTCTATATTTCACTACAATTATTTATTCATTAATTTATTGTTTCTAAGATTTTTTAATTCACGTAACAAGCATTCCTTCTTTTTCTTCTTCCTTGTCTTTTTTTTTTTTTTTTCTTTTTTTTGTTTCTTATACGCATTTCTATTTCTCTATTTTGATTGTATACGTAACTACTTTGTTACACACAAATTTTAACAACGAAAAAATATATTAGTTTTTTTTGTTTTGTTTTTCACTCACTGATAAATATATATATATATATATATATATATATTATGTGTGTGTAAACTCAGATTTCCATTTGAATTTAATTTCGCTGTCATTATTAACGATTTATTTAAAGCATTAATTTTAAAATATTATCGTTGTCCGTATACACATTTAAAAGAGAAACTTGAAAAAAAAAAAGAAAAAGCGCTACGAAATTAAAATCTACTCTATACACACGAGGTCTACATGAAGGTCATCTAACGTACAAATGACAGCCCAGAATCATTGTAATATGCTTTTGTCGGAATCATCGAACTAATTATGAAATGAATGAAATTTAATTGATTTAAGATGGTGACAAAGAGGAAGGGAGAGAGCGAGATAGGTCTCTTACTGCTCTATATCCACTTACTGTATAGTATAAATACTCTGCTGCCTGCAGTTAACAAATTCAAATTTAATTTGGAAAAGAAAAAGGTTTTTAATAAACATCGACTATACAGTAAGCAATTTCAATGATTATCCATTTTACATATATGTTAAAAAGTAAATAATATTTTAATGAAAATCTATTCTAGTTCAGTAAGTGATTGCATAAATCATTTACTATCCCGTCAACTAATCCATATAATTGTTCATTGTATAATGCAAAGCTTTCAATTTTTCAATTTTATTTATTTTTTACATTAAAACTTTCTCGTCGTCTATTATATAATAAGCAATATCGGTTAACAATTGGACTGTAGTAAATAGTTACATTATTACATGGATTAAATCTAAAAGCAACGATGGAAAGATCTTTTACTATACACTAAGCGATTTTAATTTTTGAATTTTCATAAAATGAATCAATTTAGATCAAATGAATTCAATAACAATGATAATGATAATGATGATAATGATGATAATGATAATGATGATGATGATGATGATGATGATGACTGTGCAATAAAATAATAAACAAAACAGATATATGAAAGATCATCTACTGTACGAAGCAAATCAAGTAAATAACCATTTGCTTTCAATATAGTTTACTCTAAAGTGATTACATTGCGGACATTGTTTTTCGTCTTCTTATAGAGCAAACACAATAGAAGTGTATGTTTAATAAATCAAATTAATAAACTTTTAAGCCACAGTATAAATCTGATCTGAATAATAATAAATGACATTAAAAAGATCGTCTACTGCACGATAAACTAATTCAATGATCTACACTTTACATTAAATCGCTTTAAAAACTAGTTTAGTGAACGTTAGCTTTACATTAAATGTCGACGACAATCACTACAAGTACAAGATACTTGCATAATAGTAAACAAGCAGTCTGCAATTGATCGTTTACGGCTTTAATACTAGTAAACGAACTCAATTTAATGCATACTTTAGTACAGTAATTGATCTCGTTTGCTTTCTGAAAATCAATCAAAGCGTTTATGTAAGTAAAAAAATATTAAAAACTCGAACTTTTTCTCAAAATAATTTTTTTGTTTCTCTACTAAACTTTTTGTATATCCAAAAAAAAAAACAAAAACAAAAAAAAAGGAATTTACTTAAACAAAAATTAACTTTCAATTATCTCTCAACGAACTAAAAACTACAAAAGTAAAAATCAAAAAGATTCTCTTATCGTACACATTCATGTAATTAGCTTGCAAAAGAAAAAACAAAAAAAAAAAAAAACACTTTTCAAAAAGAAAATAAACACAACATATATATATTGCATAACAAAGTTGAAAAAACATAAAACCAACCAAAATGTCGAGGAAAAAACAAAATTCAGTAGAATAAATAAATAAGAAAATATTTTTAAAACAATAATATTTATTACAAAATAGCAATATATATATATAGATATATATATATATATAGCAGTATACATATATAAAAATATGTAAATGTGTACGGGGATAGCGTTTATTGTGGGTCCGTTTAACTTAATCGTAAAACTTAATTAAGTAGTAAAAAATTAAGAAAATATAAAATTTTTGCTCTTCAATTAAAAAACATTTTCAACATTTTTTGTCTTATTTGTGTTGTTATTTATATAAAATAATAATAATAATAATCATAATAATTAAAAATAACTATTTGAAAAAAAATTTTATTTGCCAATAATTTTCATCCTTAATAATTAGAAAAGAAAGACAAAAAAAAAAAATAAAGAAAATAAAGAAAGCAAAAATAATTACATACAAAGCTACTCTAATGCTAATGTTTTCAAATCACAATCAATGCTTTTTTCTAAATAAAAAAAAAAATATATAAAAAAAAAAATTAATTTTTTTTTTTTTTTTTTGAATGAAATTTTTTATAACAAATATTTGTATTTCTTAATAATGTGGGGACACAATTAAGCAAAATTGCATGGATGCATATGTTTCTCCTCTTTCAGGGGAACAGGAAATTGAAAATAATAATAATAATAATAATAGTAATAATAAAAAATAATAAAAATAATAAAATAACAACAACAAAAAATCAAAAAGAAAAAAAAACTG